CTTACTTCAAGGCCCCCACAGCCAGGCCACCCACCCATGCCCCGATTTTTGCCTCACCTCCTTGCTGCAGCACAAAAAACAACCAGATGGAGTGGATGGGTGGCTAGCTGTGCAGACTCAAGTAGGACTTATTTGGGAGGGGCTTATGTTAGGCACACGTGTAAAAACATGCTAGGTATTATTTTTAGGAAAACGGGATAAAAACATCTAGTTTGTGGCATCCTTTTTTCTATTTCACATCTACATGAAATCATGAGGGTAGATCAGTCATCCACACAGTCTAATGTCAAACTCAAAGGCCAAGATCCGGCCCACTGGGTACTTAGATCTGGCCCGCAGGGCCGCCCTGGAAACAGTGATGGACCAGCTTGCGGTGCTTCTGCCAGCAAAAACGGAGTTCGGGAGGGCTGCCCTGGCAGAGTGTTGCAGGAGGCCATGGCAGCCAAAAATGGAGCCCAGGAACTGTTTTTCCTGGCAGAGCACTCGGGCCACCACAGGTGCCCCCGACATGATTGACATCAAGCTGGACATGCCCACACTGCCCCCCCCAAGGTCAAATGCAACCCTGATGCGGCCCTCAATTAAATAGAGTTTGACACCCCTGGTCTAATGTCATTAATACACTGATGTTCATCTCAGATCTGGACCAATAGGTAATATGGTAGAAGTGCTATTGAAGACTGGATAGAACAGGAACATTCAGAACAAATCCCCCCCAACAGAAAATGATTCTGAGTTTGTGGACCAAATTAATACAGAAAAACACTATCTTTGATTCTGAGTGGGGATGCACTTTCCCATTCAGAGGTGTTTACAATTTTGGAGGCACAGCTCCTGCTTTCTCAGCAAATAGTTTCCAGATGCAATTCAGGGTGTTGTTTATCATATTTAAGGCTTTATGTGGCTCCAAATCAGGTTATGTTAGGGACCATTTTCTCTTAATCTGTCTGTTTAGTAACTTAAACAGGATCAACTCTCTCCAGGTTGTGTCTACACAAGATTGCAGAAGTAGGCAGTTTGTATTGTTGCTCTTATACTTTGGAATTCCCTCCCCAACAAGGTCTGGTCCATCCCTTCCTATCTGAATTTCAGAAGAGCACCTACTGCAGAAGGACAGTATGTTCTGAAAGAAGGTTGGAATCTGGCAGAGCCTGATTTTATATATTTTTATCATTTTAAGGTTGATAACATTGTTTATATTTTGGATAGGCTTATTTGTTATTTTTGAAAGAGGTGCTTTTTATTTTAAGCAGAACTTCATTGTTAGTTGCCCAAAATCTTCAGAAGGGCAGCATACAAATAATGTATGTATGTATGTATGCATGTATGCATACAAATATAAATGGCTTTGGAATTGGGAGGATATAAATAAGTCAAGGATGAATTAAAAATAATTCAACATAATAATTTTCACATTACACTAAAACAATGTGACTCACTTGTTTAACAACTTTTTGTGGAATAACTGCTTCACAGACCACAGATTTCCCTCTCCCCTCTATCCAATTTATGGCAGCTGATTTTTTATCTGTACAGTAGTTGCCACTAATAGCTACAATATGGAGATCAGGAAATTCTTCTTGAAGCCTTGTAAGTGCTTTCTCAGTACCCTGTTTGGAAGGATTTAGAGAAAAAGAGACAGAGAAACAAAAACATTAGGCCATCGGTTTAGTACTGGCTGACTTCTTCGTGAAGGAACTTAATTAAATATAAACAGTGGAAACTGTAACTTCAATTACTTCATGTAACTTGACATTATGTAGCTGCATCAAAGACAAGGAAGTGACATTTTCACTGCTGTTAGTGAAGAGTTAGAAATAGTGTGGTGTATGAGCCACTCTCATCACTGGCTGCTGAGGATCAAGGTTCTTGGATAAGATTTGTCTGGTTATGGATAGAATTCATGATGCTCACTACTAACAGCAAGGGGTTAATTAGAGTGAGTCTTATGTGAAAGGCTACCTACTCTTTGGATAAGAAACAAAACATTATAGGAAACAGTGTAGTCTCATCCTGAACTGAGTCCAGAAAGAAGCTTTGTCAGCTAAAGGTGCTTGCATTACAATGGTATCACAACAGCTGATTGTGATGTTTGTGATGTTCATTGCCAGCTTCTAACAAACCAAGTCTATGGAGAAGTAGGCAAATGGTAAACTTTGCAACCATGCAGGATTTGCCTAACAATAACTGGACCTGTTGGAACTGCCAGTGTTAAGTTGCCATGGTCACACAACATTGGGCCTTATGACCGGTTCAGAGTTCCTGTTCCTAATTACCATCGATGAGCAAATGCTACCTGTGCAGGTGGATTTAATTATAGAAGATTCATATTTGCATTCACATATACATGGTTGATATATATCTGTATTATGTCATTTTTAGCAATCAATTTTGTGTTTCTGTGATTTTTTTGGCACAGTTAAACATTATATGCATGTGAACAAGTACAGAACTGGCAGAGACATGCACACTGCTCTCTAGTATTCCCAAGGTTACATTTGTGTTGAAATGTTTTCCAAATAACAAGCTCCACCAATATATGAACCCAGTCACTGAATCTGTATGTTGTAAGAATAGTTTCTTAATAATATTTTTTTTAAATTAAAGTTTTATGAAAACACCATGGAATAAAACACATCTCACATTATTTTAAATGCTCCATCTGGACTCTTTTGGATGCAGTCAATTTGTCTGTTATTTTGGAAGGGTACATAATAAAATTGAGACAAACAGGCTCAAGCTCAATCCCTCCAAGACTGAGTGGCTGTGGTTCCCGTCATCCCGATTTGTGCATCTTGTACTATCTTTGATGATAAGGGGAGAAATTTTACCCCCCTTAGAGAGGGCCCACAATCTGGGAGTCCTCCTGGATACATGGCTTAGTTTAGAAGAACCACCTGACGGCCGTGACCAGGGGGGGGCTTTTACCAGATTTGCCTGGTATACCAGTTGCGCCCCTTCCTGGATCGGGATGCCCTGTGCACAGTCACTCACATCCTCATCCTTTCTCGCCTGGACTACTGTAACGCTCTCTACATGGAGCAGCCCTTGAAGAGCATCCAGAGACTTCAGCTGGTCCAGAATATGGCTGCGCAAGTTGTCATGGGGGTACCTAGGTGTTCCCATGTTACACCCCTTTTAGGCAGCCTGCACTGGTTGTCGGTTGTTTTCCGGGTGCGATTCAAGGTGTTAATTATGATCTTTAAAGTGCTCCATGGCTTAGGCCCAGGGTACTTGCAGGACCACCTACTACCACCGGTAGCTTCCCACTGCCCAGTACGATCCCACAGAGTTGGCCTCCTCAAGGTGCCGTGGGCCAGGCAGTGTCGGCTGGCGACCCCCTGGGGGAGAGCCTTCTCTGTGGGAGCGCCTTCCCTTTGGAAAGAGCTGACCCCGAGCTTCACATAATTCCCGACCTCCAGTCCTGAGTCCTTTAGAAGAAGGGCGGCATGTAAGTCCAATAAACCAAACCAAACCAAACCAAAATGTATCCAGAATATGCTAAATAGGAATCTGTTACATTGAGATTTCAATTGCAATATTTTCTTGCTGGAATAGTACTTAAAGAGAAGAGAAAGAGATTTCTAAATACCTACTTCTTTTTCTTTTTTTCTGTCAGGTTACTTGTACAATGATTTATTTATTTGATTTGTATCCTGCCTTTATCATTTTTTTTCCTCCTACTGTTTTCTCACAATAACCCAATGAGGTAGGTTGGGCTGAGAGCCCCCCACCCACCCAGGACAGCTTTCATGCTTAAGGCAGAACCAAAACTCACAATCTCCTGGTTTCTTGGCCAATACCTTAACCTCTACATCGAATTGTCTCAAGGTACAGTATTACAATTACAATTACAATATTCTCAAAGCAAAATTTACTTAAATGCATTTATTAAAATAGAACTTACTTTTGAAATCATATTCATACCCATTGCATCACCGGTCTTAGATTGGAAGCGAATATAAAGATTGCGGCCAGCCAAAGCAATGTGAAGCCGTTGCAAACGAGCAAATCTATAAAGATATTTTGATAAACATGTCTCACTTTTTTGATGCACTTTTTTCAGATTTTTATATGAAATGCAATTTCCCCCCTCTTCTAAATTATATAAAATGCTAACCTGCTAGTGCTATCAAATACATCTTTTATTATCTTAAATCCGTCTGGTGTTTCAAGCCAAGCCTTCACTTCGGCAGACTGGCAGGCTGTGGGTAGTCGTACTACAGGTCCTCGTGTCATTCCATCTGCTAGAATACGGCTACTAGCACCTCCACCAAGCTGAGATATAAAAATGATAACAGGATGATAACAGTCACTAACAGATGCATCTGATTACAAACAAAAACACTTTTTAGAGTTGCATACAGTTACATTCAGTATTGTGCTACTTTGTGAGGCTTTGTCTCACAGAACAAGACTTCCTCTCTTTTCCACTTCTCATGGCCTCTTAACTTTAAGTTCTCCCACACCCCTAGAACACATTCTGTATGGAGATGCTCAAGGACAAGGAAAGCTGGATTCCACCCACTGTAACTGTGCTAAACAGAACCTTATTAACCCTGCTTACATAATCTTTACTTACACATATTGCTCTGCATCCTCTGTTTGTGCTTGCCACCAGGCATCCTTCAGTTGTTGCCATTGGAACTTGAAACTCTTTCTTGTCCAAAAGAAGTGGGCCAACCACACCCACAGGAATTGGCATGTATCCAATCACATTTTCACAGCAAGCACCCATCACCTTTAAAAAAAGTCAACTAAATATTACAACTTCGTTTGCTAGACAAGCAGTTCTCAGCTTACCACCACAATTGAGCTCAATATTTATGCTGCTACAGTGAGTGAGAAATTTGTTAAGTAAGTTTTGCCCCATTTTACAACTTTTCTTGCAACATTTGTTAAGCAAATCACTGTGGTTGTTAAATTAGTCACATGGTTGTTACATGAACCTGGTTTCCCCATTGACTTTGCTTGTCAGGTCAAAAAAGCTGATCACATGACCCCTGGACACTGCAACCGTCATAAATATGAACCAGTTGCCAATCATCTGAATTTTCATCACATGACTATGGGGATGCTGCAATGGTCTTAAGTTTGAAAAATGGTCATGTCACTTTTTTCAGTGCCGTTGTAATTTTGAATGGTCACTAAGTGAACTGTTGTAAGTTAAGGACTACCTGTATTAGGAAATATTAAATATATGACAGGAATAGGTGTTTGGGGTTTAGAATATCTAGTACATGTAGAAGAAATAAATATGATCATCAGTTCAACAAATGGGCTATTTTATACCTACATCTATTTAGACAACCTTTATATGTCAAAAGTTACAGGCATTGTGCAATTATCTCTAAAATTCAGATAAATAGAATTCAGTAAAATCTTCTTTAAATGTTTCTGTATTATTTTTTCTTAAATCTCATAGCATGGCCTAGATACAAATTGAGACCAAGAGGTGAAATGCACTACCATTATCTTAAAAGAAAGACTTAAAAGAGAAGTATTCATGTCTGTAAGGACTACTGAACCAACAATAAACTTGAAATGGCATTAGTATTGCTGGCAAAACATACTCTAAAATGTTCAATGTTAACTAACTAGCTTTCTGTTCAACTGCAAACCCTCATCTGCCAACAATCACACTGTGCAACTTCAGATGAAAAAGTTTACAATACTGAGTATCTTTATCTATGTTTCAATTTACATAAGGCATGTCTGCCTATTCTTTCTACTCACCAGAGAATAATTATAATTCTTGTAAGGAAGATACTGTAGAGATGAAGGCTCAGGAAGCTTCTGAGATAATATTTGCCTACGAATGGATACACCACGTTCCTGAGTTTCCATCAAAGATTCCAGTTTATAAGCAGGAATATGCCTTGCACTGACTAAACTAATGACTTCTGCATCAGAGAGGAATTTAGCACCCATCTGAGGAAAGAAAAGTATTTGATTGTGATATAACGTTTGGCATTCTTCTCCTTTGCCTGAAGCAATTCATATGAAAAAAAATCAAATACAGGGTGTGGTGTATTAACAGGTATAAAAGAGAAAAGGTGGCAACTGAATACTATATCAAAATGATTCCATAATGTTAATAAAATGCTTTATCACATATGCACATCTTACTAAATGTTCTTTTGTTTTGATTGTATAGACGCTACATGTTATTATAGGGTAAGGTTTACTGTAAAACAATATAAGATACAAAAGAAAGAAGTTGCCATCCTCTAACAGCCAAATTTTTTGCACCAATATATTAATAAACTACATTACTTGTCTTTGCTTGCTTTTTTTTTACCTTAGCATTCTGAAGTATACAAAGACATTCTTCAAGGGGCCGCATCTCTTTAGGCGATTCTATTCCAGACTCTTTTCCATTATTGATGAGAGCTGCTTCAGCAGAATTATCACCAACCACAAATATGGCCTTCGTAGGTGATTCTGATTGGAGAGGCTTTACAATCTCATCTGCATAAAAGTCAACATTGAAATCTGAGGAATTTATCAAAAGGCTTCAATATAAACCTTTTTTAAACAAAGCAAACAAACATAACAGTAAAAGATTACCTTTTCCATCTTTGGCAACTTGACTATCACCCATTTTTCTTAAACTGGGATTATTTTTTAAAGGAATAGACTGTTTTCTGCAGCAATTTTCAGGAACTTTTTTCTGAATCATTATTGGAGATATTATTGGGTTCTTCAATGAAAGTGTGGATTCCATCTCTGTTTGTTCAAAAAAGATGTACTTGACAGCAAGAAGAAGAGCTAAGCCAAGTGTAATTGTTTGTTCAATGTCCATACTGGCCATTCTAAAAAGGATGAAATAAAACATCTTTAAATATTTATCTATTCCCTTTCCTCCTCTCTACTCTGCCATGATTTCCTAACACATGGTAATTGGTGGAATTCCTACAGAAATTATTGAATGACAATGATTTTAATTTGATTATTTTTATGCCTGGAACTGCCTTAAGACATCTTGCCTCTTTTAAAGTAAAACTGTGAAATTCATCTCTTAGCAACTTCATGAACAAGTCTATATAGTGTTCTTAATAATGATGTATCGAAAGATGTTCTGAGTTCTTGTTCTTGCAAAGCATCATGTACATAAGTGAAACAACAGGTGGGTATCACTTAACAAATGTCCTGTTTAGTGACCACTCCAAAAGTTAAAATGGTGCTAAAAAAGTAAATTTATGACCAGAGTTGGCATTTACAACTCTTGTAGCATTCCACAGTCACATGGGTGACATTCGAATGGTCTGCAACTGGCTTCCAATAAGCAGAGTCAATGAGAGAATCGAGCAATAAAATTGCAAGTCACTCTCACTACCTCGTTTAACAACCCATGCCAATTCCCTTAACAATGAGAAGTGATGTCACAATCACTGTCACATGATGTGTCCCTTAGCAATAGAGTTGCTAGTCCCAATTATAAACATGGTAAGAGGATTACCTGCAATATATTTAATCAATTTCCTCCCAGAGGATTTCTGCCATTATCTGATTACAGTCTCAAAAATATTTAGTTTGGATTAATTAAAGATTAACTATTCTAAGCATGTACTCTTTCTCCTAACTGTAGACATATTAATGGACCATTGCAATTCTGGTAAATTAAGAAGTCATGCAGAACCAGTTAATACCTAAATTACAGAAGCCACTACTAGAAGGAAGTCTCAGTTTTATACTTCAGTAATTATTTGTTATGTTATAGAGGAAACAATAAAGTTATCATTCAGATTTCTTAATCAGCCAGTATCATCAACATGGGAAGGGACTATATTTCCCAATGTTACTATTCTGGAACAGTTATAAGGTCATGTGGAATATTACCATGCTATTGACACGGTGAATGACTAAACCCATCTAGTTAGCATATACCGTATCGGAGTATAAGACCCACCAGAGTATAAAATGCACCAAGATTTTGAAGAGGTAATTTTTAAAAAAAATGTTTTTACACTCTGCAGACCTCCCAAACCCTCACGCCTCATTTTTTGTGAAAAATGGGGCATGCAGAGAGTTTGAGAGGCCTGCAAATTGCTCCTGGGGACTAAGGCAAAAATGAGGGGGGAAAAAGGCCATTTTTTTGTGAAAAGGGGCCCTTTTTTTGCCAAAAGAAAAAGGACATGCATAGCCTTTAGGAGGCTTGTAGAGTGGGGCTGGGGGGGCGGTAAAAAATGAGCAAAAAAACCCTCGTTTTTGCCCTCCCCAGCCCCCAGGAGCACTTGGTAGGCCTCCCAAACTCTCTGCATGTCCATTTTTGTGAAGGGGTGGAGTTTCAGGAGGCCAAAAATGCTGTATTCCGTGTATAAGACGCACCCAGATTTTCACCCTCTTTTGGGGAGAAAAGTTGCGTCTTATGCTCCAAAAAATACAATACATAAGAAGAATAAAAATAAATCAGAAAGTATTCCACAATCCTGATGCATATTTATTGGTTCTTGAGATTCTTAAAGGAACCTTTCCCTAAAATCCTGCCTTGCCAGAATAGTTTTTCTCCTCGAGGACTTTTCCTCTCCATAGAAAAAGGATAGTTCTCCATGGACAAAAGAACTCCTCTGTGGGCTAGAGTAGGAGAAGATGTATAGTTCCATAAGTGAAGGAAGAACTTTGTAGATCAATGATATTTCAACCCTGGTATTAGTCATTTGGCCAATTAGAACTGAGAATTATTATTCATACTGGCTTGGGAAAGATATAACACCCTATTATTATCACATTTAAGATACGGGCAACAGATCAAAGATTCACATTGCTTCTCACAAAACACATTCTGTCAGTTCTTTCACAAGAAATCTTATTTATGGGGAATCAGATGCCAGTGTTAATCACAAATACACTAATCAGATATAAAACACTCCAGGATAATTGTTAAGCAACCTTGTGTATTTTGTTGATCTCAGTTCAACTATACAAGGGAGAAAATGAAATTTTATCTACTTAAGATATTAGATACATTGGTGATTTAGTAATTTGTACAGTATAATTTAGTTAATTTGAAATAATCCGAATGTACTGATAGGTGCTACTGAATAGTGATAAAAATGTTAGGATTAAACATACCTAGAAAGATAAAATTGCCACAAAGAAACATTAGGCTCTATTCTCTTTGGAACATTTTCATCCAGGCCCATAGATATTTCAGTTGTGCTGTTCTGAGCAGAGGGTTCTGCTATCCAGCGACTGTGAGCATGAACAAGAACCAAACCTAGAGACTGAAATTTAAAAATTGAGTGGTTAAACTGGTCAGTTCAACTAGGAGTGTGACTCAATCAGTGATCAGCATATAAGTATTAAATATATCATTAAAATAATTGCACAATACTTGGATACATTGTTGTTCCTATAAAAGTTTTACTTATTGAAAAGTAACCTACATGTTCTTTTGTTTGTTTTTACCTTTGCATATATTGTCAAAATTCAACTTCTTCAAAGGATTTAAAATAGTCCATTTATCTCACAATTATCGGGTATAGGAAAGCAAACACTAACCATAATCATTTTGACCCTCTGTGTTACAGGATTTGGTTTGTTTTCTTCTTCTTCCAGAACACGTGCAAAGTGACTAAGCTGCCATATTGGATGGCCTTCTCGACTCTCCCGTGAAAGCTGGGGAAGAACAGAAAAGGTTATAGTAGTTGAATAACATTACATTGAATGTCAATTTATATATTAATATTTTGCACAACTGTTTTATGAATGTGAAATACTACAAAGGCTATATGATCATATAAATTCAGAAACAAGAATTATCTTCGCATATTAATAGAGGAAAAAAGCAACCAAAGTCATAGACACCATTGTATAAAATTAATAATTTGATAATTCATAGCAGCACTACAACCTGTGAGCAGTAGATAAGAATGTCAGAATTATGAGCAACCCATGTTCAGTTTAAGAATTTTGAAACATGAAAAACTTGTTGAGCCGAGGTGGCGCAGTGGTTAAATGCAGCACTGCAGGCTACTTCAGCTGACTGCAGTTCAGTAGTTCGGCTGTTCAAATCCCACCAGGCTCAAGGTTGACTCAGCCTTCCATCCTTCCGAGGTGGGTAAAATGAGGACCCGGATTGTTGTTGGGGGCAATATGCTGACTCTGTAAACTGCTTAGAGAGGGCTGAAAGCCCTATGAAGCGGTATATAAGTCTAACTATTGCTAACTATTGCTATTGTTGTTGAGTTTTCCATCCTCCTCCTTTTCTGTGTCATGTTTTTTAAAAAATTGTATATCTCTGAAGGAACCGACATTCTCCTTTTTACTAATCTATAAGATAATCAGAGAACTTTAACTACTAACAATAGTTTGCATTCTAAATATCAGATATCTGTAACTTTAAAAAAATCAGCTAGTAGGATTCAAGTAGAAAATCAAGCAGAATGTATATATTGTTGGTTTCAATTTTGCCTTGAAGCATGTAATTTTCTCAATATAAACTATATTATAAATATGAGTAATCTAACAACTGCAATATAAAATTATAATAACACCAATTAAATTTACAAATGCCCATAGATATTATTTTAATATTTCATCATCAAGATATATTGACAATAAGGCAGGAGTTATGCAAAACATTTTGAGTTCACTCCATCTGTACACAGCCTACTCTAATAGGCACCTTGTGAAACAACACAACATGAAATCTTTCAGAATCACAAAACTGATTAGAAACTGAACTGCACAAGTGAAAAGTAATTCTTCTTTGTACTTTTAGTGACTTAAAATTGCTCAGAAAATATTTCCAGAAGAGTCTTTTTGCTTCTTAAAATACCTTGGAACCAAAGCATTTTTAAAATGATCAGCAGTAAAAGAAACAGAGTGCAATATGGTTATACTCATTCCTCCTTTTTATTGTTAAATACTGAATTAAAGTTATCATTATGCAAAGCTTCACATCTTTTCTCTTAAACAAGGGTAAATTTTATGATTACATAGAATTCTGATAGGAATGCTTTTTCAGAATAAGATTTCTTTGTGGTTACAGAAAAGTGAACTATATGCATAATTCAAAATGAAGATTAATACATCTAACGGAATTACATATTATAGAATTATTTTGAGAGATGTCCTTATTTTTTCCCCCTTTTCTCCTTCTGTGTCTATATCACTAATTAATAGGTCCCTGAGAACACTTTTTGATCATTTCTCCTTCTATTCTGGAAATAAGAGAGCGTTTGTTTTCATTTATGAGAATGGCAATTTTTCATTTGTCTTGAACCACAGTAATTTAGATATGTTCAAAATATTATTTTACTGCTACTGCTCTTACCTCTAATACCAGTGACACACAGGCTGGAAAGAAAGTCATGAAGACAAAGTAGTTGGCAAGAACAGACATACAGCCAAAACAACACATGATTTCAAGCTGTCTTACTCCTGTTAAAGAGACCATCAAATAATTAAAACCAGATTAATGTTACTATAAAAAACATTATCTTGAAATGTGCACCAATGTGAACATAATAATACAAGTTGATATACAATGTAATCATATAATAAAAAACAACCAAGATTTAATCCTTCCATTATTCATCTATCTGCTGGAAACAAAAAATAGCTCATCTTCACTATCACAACATTTACTGAACATCAATAATCACATCATATTTATTTGGTGCTCTATTAGTTTAGGGAACAAAAAGGTACATCATTTAAAAGATCAAAGAGGGCAATTACAGAAAATGCTCTGTTATCTGCATTTACAAGCTTAACAGCTATTATGGGGATAGGAAAAACAGTGTTCCAGAAGCCAATTATAATATGAGAGCTTCAAACTTTTATCAGGCTTCTGATTATAGAACTTGCTTCTCTGTATCACTGACCAATCCCTGACACTATCAAGGCTGGTTGAAAATTGGGGACCCTCAGAACAGTTACATGTAATTCATGGTAAGATAGAGAAGGGCCCTTCTGGTCATATAAAGACCTCAGGATCCAAGAAAAAATGCTACAACGCATAAGCTCAGACTTGCAATTCATGACTTGCCTCAAAAAACAAAAACAAAAAAAACCTAAGCCTTATTATGTAGGTACAGTTACATTTAAACAAATCTTTCAAAACATATTGAAATTAATGTATTATACAAGACTTTCTATGTTGAATACTTCCATTATCTGCTAATTAAGCTGATTCATTCAATGTTACCATGCATACTTCAGAAAATAACCATATTACAAAATCGGTAATAGACATAAATTATGTCACAGTTAGACTTTTATTTATCTATAATACCTTGATATACACAAAATACTGGTAGTTTTGCTTTTCATTTAGTGACTGTTCAAAATTAGAATGGCAGTGGGAAAAGTGACTTATGACCATTTTCCACACTTGTGACCATTGCAGCATCCTTGCAGTCATGTGATCAAAATTAAGACAGTCGGCAACTGGAATGTATTTGTGACAGCTGCAGTGCCCCAGGGTCATGTGATCACATATTGTGATCTTCTGACAAGCAAAGTCAAAGGGGAATCTAGATTCACTTAACAACAGTGTTATAACTTAATTAGTAACTAATTAACTAACTAACTTGATTCACTTAACAACTGTGGAAAGAAAGGTTGTAAAATGGGGCAAAATTCACTTAACAATTGTCTATCTTGGAATGGAAATTTGAAACTCAATTGTGGTCATAAGTCAAGGACCACCTATACTGAGAAAGAGGCACTATATGTCATCAATATGACAAGAGTGCAAAAAGTTAACTTCTTCATTCTCTACATGAGAGGAATAGAATTTTAATACTCTTTCTGAAAAAAAAAATCTTATGGAACCCAAAAAAGGAATGTACCCTGCTCAAACTATGTCCTGATTTACTGAACATAATGTCTCCGGTGGAGAAAAATACAACTGAATACATATTTACTGGGCAAATATTTTTAACCTTAAAAATTAAAATTCTGCATTCCTGAAAATTCTCAGCTTACCAGACATTGTGCCAACACCAATAACAAGACACTCAACAAGGGCATCCAGTGTAAACGTAGGGCCCAGGATTGCCATCCCACGCGAAATATTCTCTCTTACTTCATCCTACATGTAATACATTAAAAGTGTAACTCAGCTACAGTCTGAGCTATAAAGCAATGGGCAGATCAAAACCAGTTTGTGCAAAATTAAGTCGGTAATTTTTGCATCGTTTCTTTTCTTTTTCACCTTACTCTCACCATCATTATACAATCTGCAATATTATCACAATATATTTATCATGCTAACATTGTAAACAAAATTCAATTCATAAATAAAACTGACATTTTCTTATATTATTATTTATATACCTCTCTATTTAGCAGCTATACTGAGATGAATCTACATCTTGTTTATATTTTTCTAAATATTAAGGTAGTATCTCAAGCGAGCTTCTTTTACAGAAGTCATAAATCTCTTAAACATTAAACCATTCCCTAAACAAAATATACTCAAATTAATCTAGGCAATTATATAGGAATTTTATTTTTACTTTAAATTTTAAAGGGTTCTAAGTATTGCAGTATAAGATATTATAAATACTTTTCTCAATGAAGCTGAGAATTTGGCTGACCTGTGAGTTGGAACTGAGTGCAAATTTAGCTAATGCACTAGCTCTGGAGAGGTCAATCAGAAGCAAGAAGAATGGCAGTGCTTCACTGAAAAGTGTAAAAAGCATATTGTCATGTTACATATCAGATAACATGTAAAAGTGAAGACATTCATCTTGATAAATTCTTTAATAGATGGCTAAATAATTTATTGCAAAACCTTCAGAGATTTTTTTACTGAATACATTTGTTCAACATTTCTTTGTTGTATTTAGAGCGGTAATGGGAAACTGAAGTTACAAGCAAAGCCAAATAGCATAAGTAAATAGCATAAATTATAGATTAAACAACAACAAAATAAAACACAAGAGCCACCAAAGGAACCCTCCTTCCTATTTGGAAAAATGGAAACACTGCTTTCAGTATTCACTGAATTTGAATTTGTGCATAGCTTGCAATAGGATTTTGTAGATTTAACTTTTGACCATTTAAAAGTGAAGAAATAACAGGACTTTGTGTCTAATCTTCTTCAAATTATGTTATTTCATGAATGGGAGATGTCATATTAGAAGTGTTGCATGAATCAGTTAGGTATCTTTATGCATGAAATTATCCTTTTATGATCTAAAGTGAAATTACTCTGATGTCAAGTTTCAGAATTAGGCTGCTCTTGTTAAATTGAAGCAAATTTACATAATTTGCATAATTAATACATACTTCAAGCCTGTCAATTCTTTATCAAGGAAATGAATCACCACTGTACTGAAGACAAAGCTTGAGAAGATTGTGAATAGCCCAGCAATACCTGCAAAAGATATATAATCTATGTAATAAGCAGAATACAAAGGAGTACTTCTCTAACTACATTAATCCAAATCTTTACTCTGAAGCAAGTTTATCCACATAAGATACTATCATGATCCTGTTACACTGTTTTGTTTATATATACAGCTATAGTTATCCTGAAATATTTTAATATGCAGAGTATATTACTGTAATATTTTTCTTCAAGTTACCAGTGATACCAGCCCTTAAAATTTGTCCAATGACATTCTTCTATCATTTGCAGTTGACTGATTATAGCAGGTCATATATATATACAATTATATCAGTACAATTCAGAGAGGACAGTCATGTTCTACAGGATCATTTTTAACTATTACTGATACTACAGTTCTGAGCAATGGACAAATTAGAATTGCTAGTCTACATGGCTTATTCAAATGCTTATTTTTTGCTTCTTCATAAGGCCAATAGTTCTTCAAAAGACCATGTCCCTCTTTACCCACCTCTGTTATTTCAGAATCTTTCACCTTAAATAGTCTTTGCAAAATACATCAATCACAGCTTTATCAAAGATTTTCATAATTTCAAGCTAAAATCAGATTGATCCTCTATGTAGAACATAATCTACACTGTAGATTCTACAGTATCTCATTCCACAAACGTATAAAATATGGTATCAATCCTAGCAACACCATCTTTTTGTTTTACAATATGTCTAGGACTCAAATCTAAAACTTTTGTATATGTTATAACCAATTTGATTAGTGTATAGTCAAACCTGTTTCGTAAAGATGCCTGTTTTGCTCTGATTACCATCTTAGAAATAAAAGTATCTTACCCAAAATATATTTTGAGCCAAGTTGCTTCAAATTTTGAAACTGGAAGTATATATAAAGGATTGCAATACATCGTGTGATTGTCAATATTATGATATCACTGCTCAAAACATCCTGTGAAAGGAAAACATTTTGTTTGCTCTCAGAATGAAAAAGAACACTATATTTTTGAAATCTCTTAAACATTTTATCAATGTTTCACATATGTAACAATATTTGAGAATAATAAACATCCTTATAATTTTATCAAAATGGTAAACTACTCATAGGCACACATCTCCAAAAATTAGTTATATTGCTTTTAATCAATTGCTAATACTAACATAAAGATTCTCTTAATTCAAGCTTGACTACAATCACATGGACACTATCTGAGATATTTCATTGACTTCCCAATCTTGTCTATAATCCTGAGATTTCCCAATTTTAAATTTCATTCAAATCTAATTTGCTTCATTATTAAAATAATGAAGTAATTTTTAAAATAATTTTTCAGTCTTTACCTCTTCAAATTTAGGGCATTCGTAATTCCAGCCACAGATTTTATCATTGCCAGTGAACATCTTCATAGACATCATACAGATGGTAAGAGTTACAGTTCCCACAATAACTTCCCATGGGTGGGAGGCCACAAAAAGGCCATGCATTCGGAAGAGTCCTGACAGCATTTTCAAAAGTATTTGCACACAATCTAGGACTAAATCCAAATAAAAAAATTCTTATTAGTTATATCAATTATACAGGTAAAAATATAAATTTAAGCTCCAGTCAAATTTGGCTGATAACTAATCAATATTAAAAGAAATATGATAACAGGCAGCAAGAGCAAAAATGACTACAGCCTATATTCCAATTCAGTTCTTCATAAACTCTACAGAACTTTCAGTTAAATCTAATGGAATCCACCTGCCCCTTACAATTGATTGGTAGGACATCTGAATCATTGGTAATTAGAACTTGAATCATATTTAATGTTTCATAAACAACTTTTAACCTTAGAACCAGAGAGTTTCCTTTAAAAAAGAATACTACCTTGTCTTGCCTGCTTGAATTTGATACCATACATCTTACTCTATTTGCCACTTCATCACAGAGATACTTTACTATCCAAGATCTTGTCAAGTTAGATTAAACGTCCAATGATTCAAATGTTTGATCCTTCTCTGGTTTGCTAATTTGCTTTATGTCTGCATGACATCTGAGAGACCAGCATTCATGCAAAGACTGCTAAGTATGACCTGCCAGGGACCTAGATAGTTTTCTTACAAAACTATATGAGGCAGCATAGCAGGTATACTTTTTTATCCATAACACTACACATGAATGCACAATATGTACATGTAATAAAAATATTGAAACCCACAGGACACCATCATCAATGATTGATATACTGCATACATTTGTAAGCTAGCCAGAGTCGCCACTATATGAAATGTGCAGCACACAGATCTAGTAAACATACTACAATGCATAGCCCAACAACATTCAAGTACTAAGAGAATCAGAGAAAAGGATTCTTATTCTTAGTGGAAGAAAATGTAATTATTGTTAATCTGTGGCACCAGGGACTTTAATCATACTATTGTAATCAAATGAAAAAATGCATGAGCCAGGAAGTCTCCGTTGATTATTTATTCTAGGGCCTTTCATATGCTGTAAAATATACAGTATCTTCTCTCACACAAAAGAAATCAGATTTTCCAAATTAGCTTAGTATCCTTACAAGAAACTGCAGCAAAGAGAGTAGCTTATCTACTTTCTACCTACAATATTCCTGCCAATAACAATAACAATATGGTTTGGGGATGGAGTAAAAAAAGAGTGTAAATCCAGAAAAGTGTTTCTCTTGTAACTGGATGGATCGATTGCAAATATTACAAAGAACAATTAGCCAACAAATAAGTAGTTTGGAAAAAAATGGGAGGTGAGATTAGTTTACCCTCAAACTGGAACTAAAACTAACTTGTTATTGGATTTAATAACTTTATTAATTTATTAATTTATATAATTACACTAGAATGTAATTCTAATCTGAAAAAGGTTAAAATATCCCCAAGCTGAGCTACCATCTGTTAACTACACAGACACAAACCTTGCCATTTTATTGGAAAGAATATGGAAGTAATTTACAATTGTATTTTTTTTTTAAATTTCTCAGTCTAGCCTACAGCTTTGACATTCCTTGGGTCTTCCCATCCCAACAATAACCAGGTCTTATTTTCCAAGATCTGTGGGCCACTTGCTGCAAATGAGACATTCCACAATAGTCATGCAGTTCTAAAAAAATCTAGCAACCTTCACAGACATTACAAGCTATTTTAGATCTTTAAAGGGGGAAGGTAAAAGCCATAAGACATTTGCAAAAAAGCAAACGTCTGACAGACTTCAGCATGGCTCCTTTAGTAGCAATTCCTATCAGCCACTATCAGCTGATACTACCAGTACTATAGTACCATCAGCCATATCCATAAAGCATCTTTGCTATATCTGAACAATGTTGGTGCTTTGAAACGCCTCACACACGCCTTTTAAACCTGCCGTCTTAATTACCATTTTCCCCCAAACGCCCAGCACTGTTTAATCACACAATTTAACTGGCATTTCCGGTTATGTTCTTTTCTTCTATTTTGATTTGATAAATCAGTTTCTTTTTAGGCCGAGAAGATAAATCTACCACAAATCCTAGTACTTAATCGCCGACAAACCGTGGTTAAGAAAACCACTCCTTTGGGGCGGGGGGGAGGCATGTAAGAAGCCGTCATGGATGGAAGAAGTCTCAAGGAGGCCCCGGCGTGCATCTCTCCAAGGCGGAAGAGATCTGTGGGAGAAATATCCACCTGGGACACGCCGTTCCGGCCGCTCCAGGAGCCGTGGAGCCACCCAAGGGAGCGCTCTCAGGCCCTGGGTGCAGAGAACTAACGGCGCCCAGAGCCGCCAGCGATGAATGAATGGCGTCCCCTCCCCTTGACCCGACAACCCAAGGGATCGCCACTAATTCCTCCCTAATCCTACCATAGTTGCACGGAGGCACCCTCTTCGCTCCACGAAGAGGGCCGAGGCAGCTGCCTCTCCCAGCTCCAGGACGCCTCTCCTCAGGCAGGAAGAGAAAGAGGCTCCTTGACCGACCCAGCCTAGAAAGTCCCCTCCAGTCGCGCAAGTCTGGCCGGGGCGCGCCTGACTGGAATTGCTCTCCTCATCCCAAAATTGTGGCGGCCTCGCCCGTAAACCAACGCGCTACCAGACAACCAGGCCAAAGCCAACCCTTCTGAGCCAATGGAACGGCCGGTACCTCTCAGAAAACGGCCGGTGTGGCGAGTCGAAGCTGGCAAGGCGCTGGCCTCCTTCCCTCCTCGCCTATTTGCCGCAGACTGAAGCGACCGCCCTCCTCGCCACACAAGGACACCCGGCTCTCCACAGAGCTGAAGCCATCGGCCCATCGTGCAGCCAATGGGCAGCGTTCGCCGCGCCCAGCCAGGGATACGTCACCCTTTCTGTCACTGTAGCAACCGGTCGAGGAAGCGGCAGAGCGCTCGACAGATCAGGAGGGTGGCACGCGCCATCTCGCCACGGGAACAGTGACCAATGAATCACAGCCAAGATCTCCTCGAGCCTCCTCAGTGGTCCGTCATCCATTGGCTTATTTGCATGTCGGCTTCCGAGGGCCAATTGGCTTTCCGCTGGTCAGCGGGAGAGAAGAATGCTCAGAGGGTTCCGAATTTGGATTTGTAGCGCAAAATCGTTTCTGTACCTCCCCTACGGTTCTGAGCCTTTATGCTTCGTTAACTGAAGTCCTCGTTCCAAAACAGCATTTAATTAGAGAGAGATATAAATTAGATGTAGATTAGATGTAGACTAAATGCCTGCCACTAAGGCTGTAGAGTTGACCAATATCTGGCACATGTAACCGGGCTAGCATCGATTGGCATTACTACCATGATTCTCTGTACTGGCCCCTGCTTTTTCTTCTCTTGAATGGCCAGCTTTACCACGCTGCAAAATTGGAATCTTTCCTGTCACTCAGGAACAACTGTTCTGTGGTTACTATGTATATTCTCTTTGGTTTTATGCTTCCATATGTCTGACCAATACACCCTGCAAAACAATTACATGTTACCCCACAGTGATTCTGTCCATATGCCGGTGGTGCAAGCTCATCAAGTTTATTTTCAAAATTCTGTCCTTGCTCTTTGCTCCTCTTTTCCTACCTGTCAGTCCATCTCATGTCTTTACCAAAGGTTTCTTGATTCCTCAAAGCCCCTTGGTCCTTAAGTGATGTTTGCAACTACTTACCAAAATACCCGCCTTGGGACGACAGAATGAGGTGACTGGATGGAGTCATTGAAGCAGTAGGTGTGAGCTTAAATAGACTCCAGGGGATGGCAGAGGACAGCAAGGCCTACCTAGAGGAACATTGTCCTTGGGGAAGCGATGGGTCAGATAAGAACAACTAAGAACAACAGCAATAACCAAAATGTTGCAGAAAATAACAAGCTTAGACTTCTCAGGATACAGGAAAAGTTTATTTGGCAGCCAGGTTCAGAAAGCTAGCATGTAGCTACCACTGCAAATTCTGAACAACCTTCATTATTGAAGCACACGTTCTTATACATTCTCAAAAGCAGCACAACAGGGAAATACTTAACTCCTTTCTTA